GTAGGGAAGGTATTAAGAACCCCTACAACGCCCTTAATCGGTACCCTATGATGAAGTTAACATTATAAACAATAATAATATAAATATTAAATCCCCTTTTATTAATAACTATTACATGCTTGAAATTTAAATTATACAATTAACCCTAAAATGTCTACATGATTATTTTTATTATAACAATATTTATTATAGAAAAGAAATATATAAAAAAAAAGAGATTAACTGAAATACCTCTTGAATGAGCTCTATTGAATCTTCAAAATAGGAAGATTTTAGGTGCTTTGTGGCAACCTTTCACACTACAATGAGCCTCACAAAATCTCAAGAAATACAAAAGAGAGAGAGAGAGAAAAAAAAAAGATAGAAATTTCGAGCTCTAAGGAGTCTGAAGGAAATTTGGAGCCTTGAGAACTGTGCCCAATCTGTCTATTTATAGGCATCAGAAGGGTGTTAGAACGGCCCGTTCCAAAATCAGAACGGCCCGTTCTAGATCTGGTCGTTATGTGTTAATTTGGTATATTTGGAACGGCCCGTTCTGAAATCAGAACGGCCCGTTCTAGAGGTACGTTTAACACATAATTGCTATGCTGGAGCGACCCATTCCAAATTAAGATTTGAGGTCTTTTTTGTCACTTGGAACGGTCCATTACAATTTGGGAACAGCCCGTTCCAAATGTAGGTTTTAGCCTTTTTTTAAGAGCTTGGAACGACCCGTTCCAATTTTGGAACGAACCATTCCAATTTAGGAATGACCCGTTCTAAACTAGGGTTTTAGGCCCTTTTTGTAAATTGGAACGGCCCGTTCCAGTTTTGGAACAGCCCGTTCCGGGCTACTAAAACCAACTTAGTTGGGCTTTTAGCCTTATGATGTCATGTCCTGTTATTTCCATGCTTAGGAACTCTATTTCTTTGATGATAGACGTCCATTTCATTACTTTTGTTGGTCCAGACGAAATTGGGTGTCTACAGCTGCCCCTCTTTACTTGTCCTTTGGAATAGCTATGTGTTGATTTTAAAAACGAAAGTAAAGGCGTAGAACCTTAGTTAGCGTCTCCCAATAGTCTCTTTGGTGTTAGCGCTTCTACGTTGTTTTCCTTGGATAAGTGTATTTGCTCGTATTCTCTCCCTTTAGAGCAGTTGAGTGTTGAGTTGCGTACTCTATTGGGTAACAAGGGTGACAAACTATACACTGATCTGCCGTCTTCGAGTAGATGCTCCATTGTTTCTCTTGTGATAGTAAGGTGAAAATTCGGATCTTCACTCTTGTTTTGACAATAGATACCTTCACGTTGTTTCCTTCGGGTAGACGGTGTTCCCTATATCCTTGCCCCTTGGAGCAACTGAGTGTTGGGTTTTATGCTCTGTTGAGTGTCAAGGATGGTAAACAAAAACATCTATGCTTCAAGATCCATGTGAATGCCCAATGTCGCTTGTTGTGTCTAAATCTTCTCCTTTACTTCAATAGTGTAGATGCCCCCACACCATTTCCTTCGGGTAGATGGTGTTTACCTGTATCCTTGTCCCTAAGAGCAGTTGAGTGTTGGTTTATATGCTCCTTCGGGTGATAAGGATGGTAAACTTGTACCATCTAGGCTTCTGGATTTGATGTCGATGCATCCTATTGCTTGCTTCATGGTAGTGTATTCTTTTATTTGTCGCTTGTTGAGGTGAGAGTATATTCTGAGCTCAGCCTCTCCAAGCTGGACTGATATTTAGGGCTTTAGCCGGCCCAATGCTAGTTTTGGGGTCTAGCAACCCTTACCGATCTTGTACTAGTTTTACGGATCTAGCAATCCTTACCGATCTTGTACTAGTTTTACGGATCTAGCAATCCTTACCGATCTTGTACTAGTTTTACGGATCTAGCAATCCTTACCGATCTTGTACTAGTTTTACGGATCTAGCAATCCTTACCGATCTTGTACTAGTTTTACGGATCTAGCAATCCTTACCGATCTTGTACTAGTTTTACGGATCTAGCAATCCTTACCGATCTTGTACTAGTTTTGGGGATCTAGCAACCCTTGCCAATCTTGTACTAGTTTTGAGGATCTAGCAACCCTTACCGATCTTGTACTAGTTTTGGGGATCTAGCAACCCTTACCGATCTTGTACTAGATTTGAGGATCTAGCAACCTTTTCCAATCTTGTACTAGTTTTGGGGATCTAGCAACCCTTACCGATCTTGTGCTAGTTTTGAGGATCTAGCAACCTTTTCCGGTCTTGCACTTGATGTCTTCTTGTGGGTGTTGTGGGATGAAAGACTGCCCCCAAGTGGATGGGCAGGAGATGTTTGATGTGCCCCTGTGTTGGTGGGCAGAGATAGATGGATTAGTTGCTTCTACAAGCGTTGGAGCTTGTTCTTGTTGCTTCCGCCATTGTTGTCAAGGACCTCAAGAGAAGAAAGGACATGGAAGGTGGAGCTTGAAGGAGAACGCCAATCACTCTTCATTTTTTTTCTTTTTCTTTTTTTCTTTTGAGTTTCATTTGTACTTGATCATCAACCACTTGTTGAGGTGAGAGAGGATGAAGCACAAATTTCTTTTCCTTATGTGTGAAGGTGATTTCATTAGTAAGACCATTGTGCATAGTTTTCTTTTCAAATTGTCAAGGCCTTCCTAACAAAATATGACAAGCTTCCATTGGTACTATATCACATAAAACTTGGTCTTCATACTTTCTAATGGAAAACTTGACCTTCACTTGTTGGTCAACTACTATGTCTCCATCCTCATTGAGCCAATGCAATTGATAAGGTTGAGGATGTGGCATAGTAATTAAAAACAACTTCTTAACCAACCTAGTACTACAACAGTTGCACCATGAGCCACTATCTACAAGGAGAGAACATGCTTTGTTTGAAACATTGCATCTAATGTGAAAAATGTTCTCTATTTGTGATAGAGTACCACTAGGTTGATTGTTGATGGACCATGGGCCCTTAACAGAG